TTACTGACGAAAAATAAACACGTTGAGTAGATAGTTATTTCACTGAAATAATAAATTTTTATTTTTTTAAATTAATCATAAATTTTTCTGCAAAAAATGATGATAAAATAGTTTCTGTTGAACTTTTGACACAAAAACATTTCAAATTTATGATTTCAGTCTAATAATTATTTAGTCAACATGTTTAATTTATGTCAATGATGACAGGTATTGATAATTTCGATTCCAAATATCTAGAAAACGAATACCCGTAGCGATTTTTACCAAGAGACCTTTTTCACGTAAAAAACGTCGTAAATGTATATTTTTTTACTCAGTAGTTTTATACAGGTACGGACAAAAAGTTATTACTCTTCAAACCAGTAAGTACTAGTAAGAGTCATATTGACATCAAATTCGCATTTCTCATGTCAAAAAACACCAAGACCCCAATTTTCATCAAAATATTAATGTTACTTCAGAAATTATCTGGAAAAAATCGAAATAAAAATTAAACTTCTACACCCTGTATCTCCGAAACTAAGCATTTTAGGACATACATTTATACGAACTTTTTAATTTATTTTTATCTGCAGAATATGCTGCCGAAGTTTCCGGAATACAATTCGGACCACCCTGTATATATTACTGAAATATCTAGTAAGCCATAAACTTTTTCAAAAATCCGAAAGACACATATATTTGACCTCAAAACTTCAATTTCTTCCCCATTTAACCGACTCTCTAGCTCCAGTAGTTTCCGAGATACACATAGAGAACATAGAGAACTAACCCAATAATTTTAAAGCTAACAAAATTATAAGCATAGATTTTTAATTATCTATCACAAAAAATATTAATCGCTGATTGGAAATTAGTGAAATGGATTTTTTTTTTGTTAATTTATAATAACAGAACAATAAAAATTAACTTATTGTTAACGTAAGTCTCATATGTAACACAATAATTATTCTTATTACTCATAAATTGGAAAATTCTATTGAATGAATAATTTCGGAAATTTTGAATTAAAAGTTAACAGTTCTGTAGTTATCTGACAGTTATTATGATAACAAATTTAATATACAGTATGTCCCCGGATTGTCAATACAAAAGGAAAAACTTTTATATTATTGACGTTTTGCGAAAAATGCATAGGTACTTCATAAAAAAGTTTGCTTCTTCTAAAATGGTTAATCCCATTTATGCTTTTCCAAATATCCATACCGTTTTACAGAAAATTAAAAAAAACTGAATATATGGTTGAATTTGAAATGAAGTCCTAAAAATTAAAAGGCGTTTCTATGGTAATATAATTTCGATTTCATTCTAATTATTAATTTTGATTAACGTTATATTATTTTCTGTTATTATAAAGCATCACATTTTCCGATAATTTATTATCACCCTTTCCGTAGAATTGAACTAAATAAAATTTGTGCTTCTTTAATTTCAACTATATTTTTATTGTTTTTTTTTATTTTCTCTATTACGGTATGGAAATTTGGAAAGGTATGACGGGATTAACCATTTTAAAACAAGCAAATCTTTCTATGATTAGTGCATTTTTCTCAAAATGTCAATAATAAAAAAGTGTCTCTTCTTGTAAAGACAATCCGGGGACATACTGTATAGTTCATAAACGTTTTAAAGTACTTATATAAAATGTTTATTTAAATTCTTTAAAACCAAATAATTATTCGCAAATTTTTATTTTTGTGCTATTGCTATGTTTAGTACCTACATTTTTAATAAGAATATGTAACAAAAATTAACTATGAAAAAAATAATGACTTTAAGATAGATGAGATTTCCTTTTATTATCATATTAAAACTTCATAAACAACGTATCTTAAAATTATACTTAGAACCGACATTAACTTGTCAGAAATATTCCTATTATTAAGTAAGTACAGTAGACTCCCAATTATCCGAAACGTGCGGGACCGGACCCGTTTCGGATAATCGAATTTTCGGATAAAGCGGAGGTAAAAGTAAAAAAAACAATCTAAGTGAAAAAAAGAATCTAGTGTGGACTGTTTTGTTTTTCAACGTAAATTTTTAACAGCAATATTTCTCCATCTTTTCTCGAATCAAAAAAAGGTCGGTGGCTGTAGCTTCAGGCTGCTGTTCAATATAAATCAGTGCTTTCTCGAAGCAATCAATTGCTTCACTATGTGTGATTTTCTTGCTCTCTTCCTCCTCTAAGTCACTATTCTCACCTTCATATCCTGTGTCATTCTTTTCACTCGTAAGCAGGGGCGCAACTAGACATATATTTTTAGGCTTAAGTCTTTTGGGGGGGCTTAGATCACTATAAGATAAGATTCATGTGAGGTTAAAACCAATTTTACACGACACGCACGGTCACCTGGGGGGCTAAGCCCCCTCCTGCCCCCCCCCTAGTTGCGCCTCTGCTCGTAAGGTCAACTAATTCGCGGTTTGATATCTCTTCTTCATCCAATTTATCAACTTGTACCCAATTATCAAGCTCTTCCTTGTTAAGGTCCTTGAATTCAGGTATTTTCTTAGCAAGCTCATAAAGATTCTCGTCCTCTTTTTCATCATACCGATTCTCACCGTCATCATTTGTCACCTTTGTTGATTCTTTTGGTAGGTACCTTTCAGAGAAAATTCAGTTTAAATTTAGTACTTCATTTAAAGATTGCCACCACCCTTCTCAGATTCTATCTCTGGATGCATCCTGGATGCATCACAGGTCCATTTAAACAAAAGTCACTTTGAATCCTTTTCATTCTGTCACCTCAAGTGATATTTTAAAAGCCACTGTGACGCCGTTTTTTTATCGTAAGATTTAAGAGCTATGCGTTTCGTATTTTAAGTACCAAATACGTACCAATACGAATAAGTACCAATAATTTAAATAAAGGTACCTACCAATAAGAATCACAGGTATAAAACAGTGTGTTTACGTCAGTTCTTCGCATTAATTCTTCAGAAAGCATTATCGACGTCTTTTATCTTTTCTAATTTTAACTTTTGTGCGTCAATGTTTCGTGACGTCTTGATATATGAATTTCTTCATTCACTTCGTGATACAGATTTGTGTTTCTAATCGATTATTCATGTATTCAATAAAAAGTACGATGGTCGGTCAATAAAAAGATAAAAAAAAATCATCTTAACATTAATAGACACAATTGAGGCCGAGGGTGATTTCAATGCAAGATCTATAGAATCCTATTCACTCTAAAGCAGAGACAAGAGACAACTACTCAGAGATATGGAAGTGGGAGAATGAGCTTCGACGAGTGCGCATCCAAATTTTTGTCGACGGCAAGATGGCAGACATCTTCCAGGTCTCGCTGTCACTTCCCCTCTTTAATTGACATCACGGTGCAAAAACTTAAATGGCAGGATTTGGAACAAGAATTGCCAAATCCTGCTATCAGAGGGCGCCACTGTCGATTTAAAAATACGTGGGCGGAGTAAGAGGGAAGGAAACGTTTCTTCCCGCCACCCGTCTCATCATAATATTTCGTCATTTTTCCCGGCAGCCATCAGTGCCTTTCGCTGTTTTCTGGTTGTTTGGCTGTGTTTTTTGCAATCTTCATTTTACAATCGTGATTTTGTATTTTTGAACTTTGTTTTGTGTTTGATTTTTAAGATCTTTATTAAAGGTAAGGTTTAAGTTAAAGGTCTTTGATTTATCTAACAATTTTATTTAATAATCCGAGAAAGTGAGGTGAGGTAACCTAACCAAGTCCAAATGTTCGTGAATTTTATTTTTTAACAATGTAATATTTACAACGCCATATATTTTTACAAAAAAAAATTGATCAACTCCATATTTTTGTACATAAACTCCACAATGTGATATTACACAATTGTTCAAGTCCATATGTAAAAATACACGTAAATAAAACATTGTTTCTAATGGACGTCACTTTCTCTTGTATTCCAACGATATTTGTTGTGTTCTTAAATCTGGTACTATAATAAATATTATACTTTTTAATCTGTTGTTTTATTTGTTTGTAAAATGTTTCATGGTATAATTTTCTGTAAATTAAAATAAATTATTTATTGTAGGTTTTTATGCACATAAAATGATATAAGCAAACCATTTAACACTTTACAATAGTTTAACCTGGTTTAACCTTTATATATAAATCCTTGTTTTTTACCATTTGACTTGTTTGCCAACTTGGGACCAATCAGATGACTCCGTAGCGTCTTTTGTCAGAATATTCGTATATTTAGTGTATTATATACCAATATTGTACGCAGTTTTGAAACTGATAATTAAATAAATCATATTAATGTTAACTAACCATAATAAATGATAGAATTTCACTAAATTTAAATTGCCCCCCGTATGGTTGAAAACAGCAAATTGATATTTGATTACTTATAGATTACCACCTATATACAAAATGACAGGAAGACCTGGAATATGGCGCCCAACTTGATTAGACCTTCCGCGCATGTTGAAGCTCATTCTCTATCCCTTCTATTTCTCTGCAACTACTCTAAACATAGAAAATAACCTAATCTCTGCCCAGTGGTGGACACAGAGGGGGGCCATGGAGCCCGGGCCCCCCCTAAAATCCGTTAATTGGATTAAATATTAGGGTTTTCGATTAAAAATGGCGCCCTAAAAGGCATATTTTGCATTGTTTTTTATTTGGGCCCCCCCTAAAATAAATTTCTGTATCCGCCACTGTCTCTGCCTAATCTAAAGATCTTGATTTCAATGAAAAGGGAATTCTATTCAAGAGCGGATTCTTGAATTAGGTATTGATAGTTGCCTACATATTCCAACATTATCTTAAAATTTTAATCTGTAAAAAGTAGGTATTTCGTCCAAAGTAGACCAAATAACTGAATCAGCTGAATGTCAAATATTTGAAGGTTATTTGTTTATTTTTATTTTTTAATTAGATTTCTACCAAACTCAATAATTAATAATTTGTAGAATGAATAGTTATGATTGTTATGAAGGCTTATCTGTATAAATGACCACTGTATCCTGAAAATGTTATAATTTTTTTCTGAAAATGTTGAAAACAAGTATAAAGTTTGTGTCAGAAAATTTATATGTATTTCTGGGTATTATAATAGGTCTCTATATTTCCACATTTGTTTCAACCTCGTTAGACATATCATGTGAGACACCAGATACTTACACAGTTAATAATAAAATTGCTCAAAAAATTATTAATGACTCCGTTAACCATTTAGCACCAAAAGTTTTGCCTGAAAAGCCATTAGGCGAAAAGAAGTCTAAATTTATTAGACCTAGATATTATTCAACCGAACTGGGCATTAGAGAAAAACTCTTTGTTGGAATATTTACTTCCGAAGATAATGTTAACAGCCAAGCCCTACATATCAATAAAACTATAGGGCACATAGTTGATAAAATTAAATTTTTTATCACTGCTCAATATAAATTAAAAACGAAGTTTAACCTTACAGGTATTGGTATTTTTTTAGTTAAACTAGTTAAATATTACTTAATTTAATAATATTTTAGGTTTAGTTGGTTTTACTGATGCTAGAAGTAAATATAGACCTTTTCAAGTTATTAAATATGTCGGGGACACATTTGCTCAAGACTACGACTATTACTTTTTTACAACAGACCATACTTTTATAAATATACATAAACTTAAAGATATTGTTAGTAAAATTAGTGTTAGCGCAGATGTTTACTTAGGAACCAAAGTCCATGATGGTAGTTACTGTAACATAGGCAGGTTTTTATATTTATAATTTAAGTAAATTTTATTATATGACCGATATTTATAGATGCTGGTATTCTTATAAGTAACTCTGTACTGAAATCATTGAGGGAAAACTTAGAATGGTGCATTATGAATGCTGTCACAGATGATTATAGTGAAAATTTTGGTCGGTGTGTTTATCATAGCCTTGGGCTAACTTGCCAATTTTCAGTTCAGGTAAAGATATTTTATTGGTGTTTTAGTGACCCTTTCAATAGATATATACAAGTATTGTAAACTGCAGCTAAAGCATTTAAATATTTTCTAGGACCAAGCCATCTTTTCACATAAATTGAAACATTTTGACTTGGATAAACACTTACATGAGTTAAGTAAATCACAGGAATTCATAAATGCAGTCACTGTTAGACCAGTCCTGAAGGAAAAGGAATTTTACATATTGAACTCCTATTTTTTAAAAGTATGGAAATAGAGTAATTATTTTTATTTATTTTATTTTTATTGCTTTTTAAATAATTTTAGCAACGTTTAGCGACATATCAAGGAGATATTGCAAAAATATCTTCTTCACTTAGAGACAGCTGGCCACCAGGACAAAGGTCAGGAGCTAAGCCAGCTACTAGATTTGATATGCCAAGACAGTATTATTTTAATATGACTCACATCTTCTTTCCAGATGATTTTGTAGTGATCAGGGAACATACAGAGCCGGAGCTATTAGATCTAAAGGTTCCAATTATTTTGTTTTACTATTATTTTTTTTAATTCATTTTATTTGTAGAATATTCTTGAAGAGATAACAGCTAAAGTAGCACAACAGTACCCAAAACAATACAAATTTCGAAGGCTTGTTAATGCATATAAAACATTTGATTTAAGTCGAGGTGCTGATTATACGTTTGATATAGGATTCAGAGATTTAGCTTCTGGAAAGGAAATTGTAAAACGGTAACGCACTTTATGATATTCAAAACTAAATAGAATTAATTAGCATTTCTGACATAGATATGATGTATGCAAACCTTTGGGAAAGGTCGAGTTTATTTCAGCGCCTTATGTGACAGAAAATACTAGAGTTACAATAATATTACCAATTCAGGAAAATGAAGCATCCATTGCAATGCATTTCTTAGATTTATATAGTACCAACATAATGGAGAAAAAAGACAAGACATTTTTGATGTTAGTTTTTCTATACCAGTATAAAAGTAGCAGTAAAGGTAAGTCTTTACAGGAGGGAAAACTTTTTATGGGTCTGGTCCACTTTAGGTACGTCAAATTTTAAAATTTTCTATACAGAATTGAGAAGAGGGACACTTATAATGACATTTTCTAACAAAAAAAGTGCGGGTCGTGCATAAATAACACCAAAAAGAAACCCCCCAAAAAGAATGTTGTAACCAATGCAATCAAAACTCAGTTACGGTGGACGTTTTTACCATTGTGATCCTCTTCTCAAACTTTAACACAGATTAAAATATAATATCTATTCTTATCAGCTTAATATTGCTACCGGCTACCGCTATTTTTCAAAATTAATAGGGAAGTATAAATAAAACAGAATTCTGATTTTCAATATTTCATTGTTACCGCCAGCGATATACGCAGACGCGAGCAAAAGACAAATAAACCTAAATCTGCGTCTTCCTTGTCACTCTTATTAAACTTAATAAGGAAAGCTATATTCTAACCTCAAAAAATAAATAATTTTATTGCAGAAATCTCAAACATTTAGCGGAGTATCCGTACGATCCGTACTTAAAACGTTAAAACATTAATTGTAGAATATATTAATATTGTTACGGATTCCGTGGGTCCACTATTTAAACTCACGATAAAATACTTAACGAATTTATTTGTTTCACTCTGTACACACAACTTATACTATTTACAACACAACTTATGCAACTACTATTACTCTAACGGTATTTCGCGGTATTATCAAACTTCAGACTATCAACTTTAAACTTAAACTTGTCCAACTGTCAAAGCGCGGGCCTTATATACCCCCTCCCGGTTGTTTCTAGATTTTTCTCAAGAATTCTATAATTTTCTTTACTTTCTGGCGAATGCGCCAGGTTCCTCAAAGCACATTGCGATTTTAGCAGTATGCAGTTATGCAACCAGTAATACACCTTGACATTGCCCCCTTCTCAAATTTGATCGTCCCGATCAAGGTTTCCTGTCTGGTATCTCTTCAATCGATCCAGATGAACTACTTTCATCTTACTTCTAGGGCTGCGTTGAATCCGGTACACAACATCATTTATCCTCTTGATGACTGTATAAGGACCTTCCCATGCTGGAGTTAACTTTGGGGACCTTCCTTTCTTGCGCTGTGGGTTATACAACCATACCCTATCGTCCTGTTGAAATCCCGTAGAATTAGCTCTGAGGTCGTAATGAGCTTTCATCCGGTCACTGGCTAGCGCAATCTTACTTCTAACGGCCTTATGAATGTCCAATAATCTTTCCTTCCTAGCGATTCTTTCGAACGACAGTCCAACGCTATCCTGTTCCATTTCTTCCCCAGATCGAGTACTTGGTCTTTGTCTAGCTGCGCAAATCTTACAACGTTGACACCATTTCTTAACATCTTCGCAATAATCCACCCAGTAAAAACGGTCTCTCAGCTTACTCAAGGTCTTGTTTACTCCAAGATGGGCTCCAGTTTTACCACCGTGAATTTCTTCCAATACCTGGGTGACTTTCTTCCTTGGTACCAGTAACTGAGTTGTTACTGTCCTGCCATCCGCACTTTCCCACGTGCGCTTTATCAATCCATTCTCAATCACCAGTGAATTCCACTGAGCCCAGAGAGCTTTGAAAACGAGCCCTCTGTCCGCAATATCCTGCCACGGTGGTCTCTCGCCGTTACCTTCCTTGAGCCGTAGTATTGCTCCGATGTCTGGATCTTCCATTTGATCTTTCCTCAACTGTATCGTCGTCCATTGTTCGTCAGTTCTCAGTTTAAAATTCCTTACTCTGATAGTGCTTTCGCGATGTTTCATTTTCTTGCCCAAAGTAGCTCGTCGTCGATCTGGCTCGTTGTCGATAATTTGTACCCGTCCTACACGGCACTCAGGGGTTTTCTCCATTTTCCCGACACAGTCTTCTTGGCATCACCAGGTATCATCACAATTTCCGCTGATCTTGCTTCCATATTTCCTGGTCTCTTCTCTTTAGATACAGAAAATTCCTCATTTCCGATTTTCAGGATGTTTCTATGGTGATAAACGAAAAACCATGTTGACTGATCACATCCATACCCATGATAAAATCATCTTCAATGTCCGCCACTAAAACGCTATGCCGAAACTTCAAATTCCCTAACTCCAATTCCATGAAAGCCTCTCCCCGTACAACGGCCATTTCCCCCGTAACTGTACGTAAATACACTCTTCTTCTAAGAGGCATCATCTTCAATCCTCGCACTGAGTTAGTCTGCACCAACGATACCATAGCGCCTGTGTCCACAGTCATTCGATTTCTTCTACCATTGACCTTCCCGTTGATCACCAAACTGTCAGCGGTTTTTCCTAGACTCCTAACGGAAAACATCCTAGGGGCTCTGTTTTCTTCAGCCAATACTCGCTCATTAGTGTTGATTTCCGGGTGCCTATGTTCTCTCGATGGTAAACGGAATCGCATTTGGACGCGGCAATCCCGTTTGATGTGGCCATTCCTGCCACATCTATAGCAACTTATGTCCTGGGATCTTCCGATGTGCCGATGTTCTCTGGATGGTGAATGGAATCGCATTTGGATGCGACAATACCGTTTGATGTGGCCATTCCTGCCGCATCCATAGCACCTCATGTCCTGGAATCTTCTTTGGTTCTCTGTCTGGGTGTTGTTGACTTACTTGTTTATTAGTAGCTCACATAGTTTGTCGAATTTTCTACACATCTCCTCCAAACTTCTGTGGGTACTCTCGGGCTGTTCCTCTACCGTTACCGATCTTATCTTCGGTCTAGGGATGGCGCTAAAAGCAGCTTCGATTTCCAGCGCCCTGACCAGTGCTTCGCTGCTGGTAGAAAATCAGGATATTTGCAGCGCCCTCTGCGCCTGATAAAGCACTGAGCAGCGAGTTCCTCCCTAAATCCTTCCGGTGCTTCAGGATACGCTAGGTGTACCAGCCGACGTAAGTCTGCTTCAAATTCCTGCAGACTCTCTCTGGACCTCTGCAGGCGTGTCTTGATCTGGGCCTGGTAAGTTGGCGTCGATGTTGGTCGCCATATCTTCTGTCCAGTGCAGCGACCAAAGTTTGGTATTCCTGCTGTTGGGCTGCAGGAATAGTTTGCCACAGTTCCAGGGCAGGGCCACGCAGCGCGATGACAAGTGCCGCTGCTTTCTCCTGGTCAGTCCATCCGTTGGCAGCGGCGGCGGCGGCTGCTTCAAACTGACGGTGGTACATTGTCCATGTCGTTTGTCCATCGTAGGTCGGGGCCTTAAGGTTCGCTGTTCCTTGAACGCCAGGTGTCTTTACTTGTACCTTGCTCTTCTGTAGGTCCATCTCCAATCTTTCTATCTTCTGCTGAAGGCGTTCCTCAAGATCTCTTCTACGGTTTCTTGAAGTTGATTTTCCTGCCGTTTTTCCAGGTCTTCAAAAATTCTTCTGTAGTCGAAATTCCTGATTTTCCAAAGTTTTCTTAAGACGGGCCTGATCTTCAAAATTTTTCTTTCTGGCGACGCACTTCTAAATCTTCAACAATTTTCTCCAACCGTTCTTGTCTAATTCCTTGATTTTCTAAAATTTTCTGAATACGGTCCTGTTCTTCTTGTCTTTCTTTTTTGACGTCGCTCCTCCAAACGAATTTCCAAATTACCCAGTATTTTCTCAAGCCGGTCCTGTTCTTCTTGTTTCTCTTGTTGTCGTTGAACTTTCAAATCTTCGAAAATGTTCTCAAAGCCGGTCCTGTTCTTGTTGACGTCGTAGTTTTCCTCTTCCTTTTCTCTTTCTAATCGGGCTCGCTCTTCTTCTCGTTCTTTACGGAGTCTTTCTTGTTCTTCTGCTTTCTCTTTTTCTAGTCGGGCTCGCTCTTCTTCTCGTTCTTTACGGAGTCTTTCTTGTTCTTCTGCCTTCTCTCTTTCTAGTCGGGCTCGCTCTTCTTCTCGTTCTTTACGGGTCTTTCTTGTTCTTCTGCCTTCTCTCTTCTCATATTCTCCATAAAATCGCCCAATAATTTGCTTACTTCCTCCATTTTCTTCTGCTTGTTCCCTTGTACCAACCATAAAAAATACTCTAATTCGGTCTAAAAATCTTCCAATCCACTTAATTTCTGCTTAAAATCCTCTTGAATCGCACTTCCGACACCAATTTGTTACGGATTCCGTGGGTCCACTATTTAAACTCACGATAAAATACTTAACGAATTTATTTGTTTCACTCTGTACACACAACTTATACTATTTACAACACAACTTATGCAACTACTATTACTCTAACGGTATTTCGCGGTATTATCAAACTTCAGACTATCAACTTTAAACTTAAACTTGTCCAACTGTCAAAGCGCGGGCCTTATATACCCCCTGGCGGTTGTTTCTAGATTTTTCTCAAGAATTCTATAATTTTCTTTACTTTCTGGCGAATGCGCCAGGTTCCTCAAAGCACATTGCGATTTTAGCAGTATGCAGTTATGCAACCAGTAATACACCTTGACATTATCAAATTTACATCAATAACTTCAAGATTGACGCCGTACCTACCTTTTTTTATTATTAATATTTTGAAAAAAGTATATTCCTTAGGTATAACAATTTTGCTTGATCTATAATGGTTAATATTGTATTCACCTTTCCAAATTTTCCTATAGTTTTATAGAAAAATCATTGAATATGAAAATATGGTTGACTTTTTTCTATACTCTCAAAATTAAATGCTTATGGTGTGTCTGGTAAAAAATGTACATGTACTGTCAAAATATCATTTTACTGCCAAGCGACTGCCAATGACTGCGAAGAAGACTGTCTGTCTACCATATAATTATGCCGTATAAAAAAAAACGGCGTATAATATAATTTTACATATAAATGACAGAGATGTTCATTTCATAACGATCGCTAACACCGTTGTTTTTCCAATCATACGGTAGTTGACTGCCTTAAGTCTGATGCCAACGACTGCCAAGAAAATGTACATGTAATTGCAACAGTTAGACACCTCTCGGTAGTTTATTTATATAAAATAACGTCTATTGAATATTTCTTCATCAATAAGTTATTGTTCTTTTAGGTTCTGATGACATATTTCAAGAACTGAAAGATTTTGTTAATAAAGTTACAAACCGGTACAAAAATGATGATGTTAAAGTCGGATGGGTGTCTATCAGATTACCCGAATATGACACACCAATAACCTTTGAAAATACCAAAGCTCTAAAATTTGCTACAGTTGACTTGGCTCTGAAAAAAATTGGACTAAACAGTTTAACATTAATATTAGATATCTATACAAATATAACAGTAGATTTTCTTAACAGAGTAAGATATTTTTTTTATTTTCTTAATTCGTATATCAATTTTCTTTTACTTATTCTAGGTCAGAATGAATACAATAGAAAATTATCAAGTTTTTTCAGCAATTCCTTTTAGACAATATGACCCCGTGATATCGCAATATACACGATTTGATGTAAACAAAATATCAGGCCATTTTGATAGGGAAGAATATAAATACATAGCATTTTATGGAAAGGACTATGTAGCAGGTATGTGCTTATACCGTGCTGGCAACTCTTACTTTTGGCTTGGTATTTACCTACATGTGTGGAAGTAAATCGCAGAGAGATCTTATTAAGTCGGAGTGAGAAAAATGCGACGATATGCTGTTGCGGCGTTGCCACATTTCTCCGGTTTCCCTATCAAGTAAAGTAAAATCGCGATCGCAAACCGCTTATTTTTAAAAGACTTTTTTTCGAAAAGATAACTAGATAAAGTCATTAGATATGTTTCTGAGCATCTAAAATGGAATTATAAGGATATAGTTAGGGTGTCCATATTTTTTATAACGGGAAAACGTCAGTAATCGCGATAATTTAAAAATTCAACTTTTTAACACATAACACGCGATAACTCCAGAACCACTTTAGATATTGAAACTTTTTATTATATGTATTTCGGATCTTTTACAAGATGTTCAAATGAGAAAAATTCGATTTTTTCATTCAAACATTTAAAAAAACGTCTATTTACTTTTAGCGCATAGCAATTTTCCGCAATCGTGTAACTTTTTTACTTGTAACGATTGTCACATACTGTCTGCGAAGAAAATATAGCAGAAATATTAAGAAAGCCTTTGAAAAAAACTACAATCAATTATTTCTAATGGATTTCGAGATATCGATTTTTGAATTCACAGCTCTAATAGCGCGACCACTGTCGAACACCAACTCAATTGCACTTATTTTTACCAAAAATGCAAGGTTCCTATTGTAACTTGCACTTAAAAATTTACAAGCTATAGGGAAAATTACAACTACTCCTTAATAAATAAAGAAATAAAGTGTCACGAGACGTAATTAAATTGTAAAGCTGAACGCATTATCATGATATACACCCTTCTCTAGAATTTTAAGTACTGATTGGGTCCAATTGGGTAGATCGGTTGGCCTCGACATATCTACTGTACCCTTCCACATCTCTATTAGCATCGTGCACAGATGCTCGGTTTATTTCATGCCTTTGGCAACGTTTTTACTGTCCTCTTTTTGTTCAGTACATTATAAACGCATTGTACTCTTCTTACACATGGAAATCTCGACCCAAAACTAACCTTTGCCCGCCCAGTATGTTTTTGATGCCGATAAAATATATATGCTGATAATATCAGCATATACAGAGTCTGGCAATAGTGCGTCGGGCATAAAGAACTTGAGAATTTTGTTTAAGTGCAAACCTAAAGTATGTATGAGGATGTATTTCCGGAAAATATTTTAACTTCTATAGGGTGGCTCAAAAAAGTGTGAGTGGATCTGGATGATTTTTTTTAAATGGAACACCCTGTATATTATTGCATTTTTGCCTTCCTTTCAGACCACTTTACATAATCCTAAGATATGAGTAAATCTATTTCTATAGTTTCAGAGATATTAAAAAATAAATCAAAAATATATATTTTTCAACCCTTCTTAAAAAAAATATTAAAAATACAAGAACTGTTCTGAAATCAAAACTGTATTAGATATTTACTTTAGATGATCTGTTCTTACTTTGCTATAAATATGGCAATCGTAGATCATACAGGATGTTCAATATTTTACGCCAAACTTTCAAAAATATAAAATAAGTTTTCTTCGTTTTTTTTTAAATGGAACACCCTGTATATTATTTTTTTATTTGATGGAGAATTAAATGAACATTTTTTGTATTTAAAGTATTTCAAAATGTTTAATAGTTTTCCGGATACACGCAGTATTATTTCATATGGCGCTTTCAATGGTAAAATACGAGAGAAAAATCATTGGGTGGCTTTGATAAAAATTTACTGTGGAAAATGCCATAGGAAATACAAAACCGGGAATATCTGCGAAACCGTTAAAAATTTTGAAATACTCTAAATGCAAAAAATGTTCATTTTTTAATTCTCCATCTATTGAAAAAATAATATACAGGGTGTTCCATTTAAAAAAAACATAGAAAAATTATTTAAAGTTTGGCGTAGAATTTTGAACATCCTGTATGATTTACGATTTCCATATTTATAGCAAAGTAAGTACAGACCATCTAAAGTAAATATTTAATATATTTTGATTTCAGGACAGTTCTTGTATTATTAATAATTTTTTTAAGAAAGGCTCAAAATTATATAATTTTTAAATATTTATTAATATCTCTGAAATTATCGAAATATATTTACTCATGTCTTAGGATTATGTAAAGTGATCTTAAAGGAAGCCAAAAATACAATAACATACAGGGTGTTCCATTTAAAAAAATCATCCCGATCCACTCACACTTTTTTTAGCCACCCTATAGAAGTTAAAATATTTTTTTAAAAATACATCCTATTAGATAATTTAGGTTTACACTTATCAAAATTCCCAAGTTTTTTATTTTAGGAGCTACAGATACCCAACGCACTATTGCCGGACCCTGTATTTTATTTATATGATTTATATTATATATTATATAAAAATGAATAGAATTAACTATTTATTCCGTCAAATAATCTAAAATAACGTGAAATAAATCTGAATCGTGCATTTATTGCATCTGAATCTTGCATTACTGTCTTGAGAGTTAATTTTAACCATTATTACATGTTAAGTTGCATTTATTTTCTAGCTAGAAAAAAGTTTCAGCCAATAATACCGTTAATAAGGGTGGATAATGATATTTCAAAGCTTTTGAATAATTTTATACGAGAAAAGGGAAATATTTTTGAAATGTTTGTTCAGTATGGCGCACATATCCACTGCATGAGAGCTACAGAGATGAACTTGAAAATTTTGTACCATAATGAACCTGACGAAGAAAGAAAAAATAAGTTTTATGGTAATGATGCTCAGCTTGCTAAACTTTTACTCACCAAACAAGAGAATATACCAGAATTGCAATGAAATTGCAAAAAAGGCTTAACTTTAAGTGTATTATAATAACCTTGTGTTTGTGATACTTAAATTAAATATACATTAGTATATTTAATTTAAGATTTTATTAAGAAGTTTATTAATTGGTGCTCAGTGGCGGATACAGAGGCCAGGGACCCCCCTAAGATCCATAAATTGGGTTAAATATTAGGCTTTTGGGTTAAAATTGGCACCCTAAAAAGCATATTCTACATTACCTTTTATTTGCCCCCCCCCCCTAAAATAAATTCCTGTATCCGCCCCTGTTGGTGCTCTCTCTATTTTAGAGAGTGCACCAATTAATAAACAAGATGTTGATTGTTGATTTGTATGTTTATCTTGGGGTCATTTTAAACCATGTATGCTGTCTCTTCTATATTTAATCTAAGGTTTGTAAATTCAAAAATAACTTTATCTACCTATTTGAATAGTTTATTAATAATTTATTGATAAAATCCTGATACAATGTAATTTGTATAAAATAAATATTTTGATGTAATCTTACTGTTAAAAAAATGGTCTAATATACACATCAAAATAAACACTAAATCACCACAATACACCAAAACACTTTTACTTTTACAATGAACGCGCGTTTCGCTAACCATGTTAGCATCATCAGCAGATGATTAAAACTGACTTTTTAATTTTTAGAAAACTTAGTTTTAATCTGCTGATTGTGGTGATTTAGTGTTTTGTTTTGCTCTGTAACACCAAAGGTTCCAACCCCAAACTATAATAATATACACATGCCTATTATAGTCTGTCCAACGAGTTGGAGTAGATTTCGACAAACGACGTGCAAAAAATGACAGGAATCAATTAACTTATTTTTAAAATGCCAGACACAATTGTCACTGTCACTAATACAGATCCCCTCATTGAGTAGACTTATTTAATAATTTAAATAAAAATAAATACTGTTGCAAAATTAATATTTCTCTTTAAAACATGTAAAATCACTTCCTATATAATTTGACAGATATATGAACTAAATAAATTAGGAATTTAGGAATGTCTTTAAGTTATGCCATTGTTATAACTTAATTATTTACAATAAACTTTATAAATATTTCATTTTTTTAGATTCAGATATCAAGGTTATGATCTTTTTTCAAATGAACCTTTCTATAATAATTTTCATAAAACTGTTTCTCACAATATTCACATTTATAAGGCTTTTCACCAGTATGACTTAAAATATGTCTTTGCAATTTGTTGTTAAATAGAAACAACTTGGGACAAATTGGACATAAAAATTTCTTTTCCAATTTTGGCTTCTTCCAGGTACCTATATCGTGTACCATCTTCAAATGTTTGTTAAAAGCTTCTTTACTTTTGTACTCCTTTTCTCCACAATACATGCAAGTAAAATGACGCTCATCGGAATGTGTTAAAAAATGTTTAGTAACTTCTGATTTGTTAAAGAATTGTTTTTCACATACATTACATGAGTACTCTCTAACACCCTTGTGGCGTTTCATGTGAACAGCTAAACCACTATTTAAGGGAAATCTTCTATTACATACAGTGCAGCCATATTTCCAGTCTTTAGGGTCTGTATGTTTAACAATTCTGTGAGTTCTTAAAATACTTGCAGTATTAAATCCCTTATCACAGATATTACATTGATACTCTCTTTTATTCAGATGTATTTTGTTATGATGATTTAAATCTCCTGAACATACAAAACCCTTCCCACATGTGCTACAGATACATGGCTTTTCATTCCTATGATTTCTGTTGTGAACTAATAAACTATGTGAATTAGAGAATGATGCTTCACATAAATTGCATTTGTATGGTTTTTCGAATGTATGAATTGACCTAATATGTGCTGACCAATGTTGTCGCCTATTAAAAAGTTTTCCACAATATGAGCAAGTAAAAGATTCTTGTTTTTGACGATATTTTCTTCTTTTCAATTTGTGTTTGTACTCTGGGTCTGGATCACTGTCATAATGTTCACTAAATGCATTATGACCTGAGTCATCATTTTCATCTTCAAATACATTATTAGACAAACCATGTGTTACATCATTTATATCTATTTTGTCTTCTTTTAAATCATAAGCTTCTGTAGTAGTCCCATTATCCTTGCCTTGCACTTTATTTCCTTTAAAAAATAATTATAGTAACATAAATAATTATTTTAAATCTAAAATATTTACTTTTGTTTTTTGAAGTTTTAAGATGGACCCTCGTAATGTGTAATTTGAGATACCTTTTCTGCTTGAAAGATTTTTTACAAATATCACATATTACTAATTCCTCTATATTTAACTTCTGTTCAATTTCTTCTTGAAATTTAATAAGCTGTTGCTCTCGCAAATCTTTACTTTTCTTACAGCACATAATAAATTCATAAACTAGATTTAATTTCTCAATACACTCTTTACAAATATAAAAGTCTTGGTCGAGCCACAGCTGTAAGGAAAAAATTATTACACATTAATTATGAAATTAAATTATTTATAACTACCTGACTGGGATCACAAAGACTTAATTTTTCTGAATATTCGATATTATTTCCATCTTTACTTTGTACATTTTCTAACTCTTTGTCAAATTCCACACAAACACAGCAGAATTTATCAATCTCCATTTTTCTATATCAAATATTTAAATGAAAAAAAAACAAATAAAACAAGTACCAAACAAAACTTGTTTTGACAGATAAACAGCAAACAGATTTTCAGATTTATGCCAAACGTGTGTCAAAGTCAAATATAGAATTAAAAATATATTAGGGATGTACTGAACAGCACCAAAACGTTCAAAAGAACTATTTCAGAAAGAGCACAGGAAGAGTTGTTTTGAAATATAAAATGTATTATATAATATTATATTCTTACTCTGAGGGTGTAATAAAAATACACGAAGCTTTCCTTGTCTAATTAAGACACGAAGAAATCGTAAGGCAAAAAAACTTAAGTGAGAAAAGAAACATCAAATAATAGGTATAACAGCGTGACAGCGTTTTCAGATGGAGCTGAGCGCCCGCGACTTCGAGCAAGTACCATGAGTTTATATGAACGATTTCACATGGGTCGAGTATGCTTTGTCCCATGCTCTGTCCGGATGAGCTATACTTGCTATCTGTGCTTGCTATACTGAAAAAAAAACCCGCGCGGATGCTCCGCGTGTAGGTCTGCTCCACCTGAATCTGAAAGCGCTGTAGCACGGCTGTAGTACCGTATCCATATACCGTATGATCGAAAAAAACGGCCTCCAGTTGGCTGGGAAATGACGATCGATGACATTTCTCATATAAATTCACATATAAAATGACAGCGATCTTCATTTCATAGCCATCGTTGACGCCGTTTTTTCTCGATCATACGGTATTAATAATTCTAAAAAAGTTTGTTTTAACTTAATTAGTAACATCCTTGGTAACATTATTAACTCTACCACAGATTAATGACTCTACTACGCAGGGCTTAAAAACTCTACCCTCCATACTTATTGGTACCATGATACAAAGAAAAATGTATTGGTACTATGGAAAAGGCAGAGGGGCTTTGAGAGGGATGAGAAAAATAAAGAGATATAAGCGGGGGGGGGGGGTGAGATATAAGAGGGGTAAAAAAATATGATATACAAATTAAATAATTATTTATTACATTTACTTACATATTATTTGCTAAAAAATTATATAAACTATTACTAAAATTAAGTTAAACAATTTAAATATTAAAATAAATGAATTCTGTGCAGGCATATTTATATATCTTATTTCAATATTAATGTACACATGGAATTTGATTTCATATATTGCACATATAGACTGGATACTGGATAGGTATTAAATATTATGCTTATCTAATTCAAGAGAGGCTTGAGGGTAATCCAAGTAATAAAATTATTTTAAATTATACAGAGTAGTGCTGAGTATATTTTGATTCATACATTAGGTATTAAAATAAATTAAAAACCTTATAAACAAGTTTAATTCATAATTCAGTCTCAACAACAAAGCAAAAATACTATTTATCGAGTGCCTATATTAGAAAATAGCAAAAGCTTCATAAAATTCAGTTCTTTGTCAATCATTATTGATTGTTTAATTAATTTATATTAATTTGTTGAGATGAGCTGGGATACCGATAAGGCATAAAAATGTTTAAGAATATCGCTGTAACCATTAAAATGATAAAAAGAACCAGGGCAACCCACCAAAGGTATTTTTCAAATGTCGTCTGCTTAAGGTTTTTGAGAATATAAATTCCTACTAGAAGACCTGCCACTGCACCTAAAATGTAAAAATACATTAAAATGAAGGCTGATTTAATAAATTACAAGGAGGTGATCCAGTATTATATTTGAGATCTTTTTTACAACATATAATATTTACAAGGGAAATTATACACAGGGGAGACTTAAATAAGTGCAAATATTTTCAGGGCGAGTAGATCTCGATAAAAGAAACATATTTTCTCTTTATCGTTTTTTCAAATAAATCCGAAATAACGCAGTTATTTCATATTGAAAATTTCAAAAAAAATGAATTTTTGTTAAAATTTTGAGAACCACTGGATCTTTTCTGGATTTTCTTTCTTGTAAATTTAACCTACTACCTATGTTGCCATATTATAATCAAATTACATATGTTATTTAACTAAAAAATGCAATTTTTTTCAAAAAATTCCAAATTTTCAAAATTTTTTTTTGGCGAAAAAAATCATAATCGTGTTTCTGGGATCAAGATATACTACCCCTAAAAATATTTGCGCTTATTTAAGGCTCAACCTGAATATTTTAACATATTTTAAAATCGTTTGTAGATATACACAGTGATTCAAGTAATATAATAAAATTCATATTGCCTTTTTCAAAACCAATTATTACATTGCGTGATCAATACAGAGTCTGTCAAATGATGCGTGGATATGTCAAATGGGAAACAATTAGAGAAGTTATACAAAAATCTTGTATAATTTCTATATTTGTTTTATTTGCAATAATTTCAACATTTCAAAACTGTGCGTTAATAGACTATTGATTTAAAACTTCTAGTTATTTAGTGATATATATGATTAATAAATGTATTAATAATTTCAAAGTTTTTACCTCCAATATGAGCCATGACTCCAACATTATTTTCTATATTAAGAAAATATCTATCATAAATTGCAGTGCCCAAATCCACAGTTATAATGATTCCAAATATAAATAATTGTATTATAGGAAACTGCATTTGACCCCAATTCTAAAAAAAAGGAAATATTAACTTGAAATACATAATAAAAGTAATACATACTTATAATAAGATAAAATATCTATTATTATTAAATTTCAATATTACTGCAACAAAATGATAACTATACATTGTAGTAAACGTATTCATTTAACGTTTATATGTATTGTTACGTTTTTCGTCGGTTCCGTGTGGATAGAAAGTCACAATTTATTTAAACACTATTTATTTAACACTAATTAACAAAAACAATAACGATAAAACATTTAAAGAACTATTTACAAACGATTTATAACAAAATTTATTTTTGAATTTTAGCGCGTCAACTGTACTCGTCTATTTATATAACTGCCCTCTGTAGGCCACAGCCGCCGGCTTTTATACCGAGAGCTAAATATCTCTAGAATAGTCCATAGATCGTTATGTGCATAGAGAAGGTTTCAATTGTTCTCGTATGTACTACTCCATTCTAGTGGAACTCGATTCTTCTCGAATCTTCGATGAATCATTACGGTGTCTATTCTTTAATGCGATGTTAAGGTCATCCGAGGGCGGGCCATATAGTCAGGGCCAGTCAACTGAGATATACGACCTTGAACGATCTTTTTTTGGGGTAGTAATTTCCTGGGGCGCTAGATGGCGCATTTTTTATTTTAATTTTTCTAGTTGCCTAACAATTGCGTACAAAATTGTTTTTATAGTTGCCTAAATAGGCCTATTAATTATGTTCTGTCATTATTCTGTATGTCAAATCAGTTTTCCGGCTTCCTCCTTCCTCTTCAGTTGTGTTTTGCAGTTGAACGGAGATGTGCGTTTCGCTGTTTTCTGGTTGTTTGGCTGTGTTTTTGCAATCTTCATTTTACAATCGTGATTTTGTATTTTTGAATTTTTTTGAACTTTGTTTTGTGTTTGATTTTTAAGATCTTTATTAAAGGTAAGGTTTAAGTTAAAGGTCTTTGATTTATCTAACAATTGTATTTAATAATCCAAGAAAGTGAGGTGAGGTAACCTAACCAAGTCCAAATGTTCCTGAATTTTATTTTTTAACAATGTAATATTTACAACGCCATATATTTTTACAAAAAAAAGTGATCAACTCCATATTTTTGTACATAAACTCCACAATGTGATATTACACAATTGTTCAAGTCCATATGTAAAAAATACACGTAAATAAAACATTATTGTTTCTAATGGACGTCACTTTCTCTTGTATTCCAACGATATTTGTTATGTGTTCTTAAATCTGGTACTATAATAAATATTATACTTTTTAATCTGTTGTTTTATTTGTTTGTAAAATGTTTCATGGTATAATTTTCTGTACATTAAAATAAATTATTTATTGTAGGTTTTTATGCACATAAAATGATATAAGCAAACCATTTAACACTTTACAATAGTTTAACCTGGTTTAACCTTTATATATAAATCCTTGTTTTTTACCATTTGACTTGTTTGCCAACTTGGGACCAGGGTTCGGAAAACTACATGTTACTTTTAAAAACTACATAAACTACATTACTTGTAGTTAATGTAGTTTATGTAGAGGGTGTAGTTTATGTAACCTATGTATTTTACCTTCAAATATCAAAGGTTTGAGGTGAGGTTATAATAACTTGAAGCTTTAAAAACACATAATGTATTTAATAAAACAGAAGAAATATGGTTTTAAATATAATATTTAAATCATATTATCCCTATTACACCTCATACAAAGGAAAATTATTCATAATATCAATACATAGTTTATTAACGTAGTTTTCATGTAGTTAATGAACGGGAAAAGACGTAGTTTTTGAAAAAAACTACACGTAGTTAATCAGGTAAATTACGTCTTAATTAACTACTTCCGAACCCTGCTTGGGACCAATCAGATGACTACACATTATTTTGTAGAAATCTGATTGGCTCTAACTGGCGAACAAGTCATACGTCTTGCTTAAAAATAAATTGCATCTATTTAAATTTGCCGCCACATTAGTTACTTTCCTGGGTGGCTAGATGGCGCCACTTCAATATACAAATTACAGATTTCTTTACAAATTTGAAACCGTTTTGAAACTAAAAAATGCATGGGAGTTAGCGTTCTTCTTTAGTGTGTTCTGTGCATATAGTTAGGTAAGTTAGGTTAGGTCGAGTCCGCACCGGTCCGCAACAGTATCACAAAATAGAAATCAACCAGAAGGTTGACTCCCAAAATGCGCGCGAAACGGTGGCTAACCTAAAAAATCCTTTATGAGCGGGTAACACCTGTCAATGTAGCGGCGTTACCGGTTTAATCAGGGCCGGTCAGGGTTTAGTTGAATTCTAACCATCGCGTAATATGAATATTAATTTTGACACATAAATACGAATTTTAAAAGCGGAACAAATAAAAATAAATTATTAATAAGGAGAAATAAATAGATATTAAACAAATGCATAGATTGTTTTATTTTAAATACTGTATTAACCCATCTTAACACAATACTTATTACCTATCTACCTAATCATAATTTTATTATTATAATGAGTTCGATTTATCTGGGTAACATTGTGTTCAAGCGAAACTTTCCCAGCATTAAAAAAAACATTTTTATTTTGATAATGTGTACTCAAAACGCAGAACGTGCCTCTAACAAGTAAATTCAGGATTGTTACACTTTAGAACGTATCTATAGCAACGCAATTCGCGTAATTTCCCAGACCATAAAAAAGTAAAAATGAAAAAATCAATTAATTTCTTCTAAAAAAGACCGTAAGGTGTAGAGATGATTACGGATTTTTGCCAACCAGTAAAACGCAGCTCAAGGGTTCGAGTAGAAAGTTGACCTTTAATTAATTGGTTTAGTTTATTTTTAAAATTCACGATCTCTACCCATTTCCAAATTTTTGACTACGCATATATTATCTGCCTACCTACTAATTGCAAAAAAAACGCTGCATAAAAATTACATGTGGTGGTATGTATACAATACAAACCTAACCTTTCGAAATAACGTATTACGCTCAGTCTGTAATCACATACCTATCAGATAATAAAAATACTTATTCAATATAACCCTGACAACAGCCTGAGAAAGCGTTTTAATCCGGCCCTGAGAGTTACCCGCTGCCAATATGGCGTCGCGATTCGTGAAACGTCATCAAATTCGGCAGAGTCGGCGTTCTGGTTGATTTCTATTTTGTGACAGTATTATCTATTTTGATTTAAGATTACTCACTATACTTATTCTCATAAATGAGAGATTTTAAAGTCTTTTAATCATCCTCAAGTCGTTGATTGGAAGAAAAGTATTATTTAATCCTGGACCGCATTAGGCCACACTTCATTCCACGCCACGCTATCCCACGTGAGCCCACGTGTTACGACGCGGGAAAGGGTGTACACATCTGAGACAGACGAATAGCCCATCACAGATGTGATAGCGTGGGATGGCGTGACGTGGGGTGGGTGTGTTGCCTAGTGTGTACGCAATACATGTACCTAATTAAATGGAAAAACATACGCATATATCCTAAAGACATGTGGTGGCATGGCGTGGCGTGCTGGCTAATGGGGTCCCGGTATTATTCTTTACTCCTACAATCAACGCTCAAATGCAGTTTTACGATTTACTTACTTTTGCTAATTTTGAATGCCATAGAGATAAATTTCACAGAGGTATATTTCCTCGCAAGTTTTGATACTTTTCTTAATAACAATTTAATTAGAACAACGCTATTAAAACTATTACTCACCATAATTACTGACGCTATATGTGCAGTTAACAACGCATAAACTCCGCCACTGGCTCCAGCTAATCTTGTCCAGGGATCAGTCACAGATGTGGCAAGCGATCCTGCTATCACTCCAAAAAAGTAAACCATAGTTACTCTCGCCCACTTATGAGCCATTTCTAAGGGAATGCCCAGCATCAGTTGTACGACGAGATTTGTAATCATATGTACGTGGCTTAATATGAAACAAAAAGAAATGCAATTCTTAACAGTATAAAAATATGCACGAGGAATTAATAAGAGACCTAGAGGAAGACTGAATCTGAGATAGGACCATGGTATTAGGAAATTTGCAGGGATAACTTGGGCTCGCAGAGTTAACAATAGGCAACAATGGGTCCAACTACAAAGAGAGTATGTGAGGGAGGCTACACACATTGGAAATGGTTGAATAAGCTGAAAATGATGATGATGATAAAAAAATATTATTATAAATTACAATACACTAAAATATTAACATAATTAAGAATCAATAAAGAGATATAGTATTTCCAAAGTCAGTTGGAAACTAGATCGGTTTAGTGTTCTTAATTTTGACACTAGAATGTAGAATGTTTAGGAGTGGATTTAATCACCGCGACCTTACAGATCTTTTTGTGCTCCCCTTCCTTGTTGGGCTTTAACAAAAGCCAGTATCTGAAACGGCTCCACAGAGGCCAGCTCTACATCCTGGACATCAGCCGTGCCAAAGCCATCAGCCATAGCATGAACGGTCGTCGTCTCGGCGCACTCAGTGATAAGGTGTTCTGGTGTTTCCCCATTTTCCCCACAGAATCTGCATTCGCCGTTGTTTCTCAGCTTCAACCTACTGAGGTGTTCGTTGAGAAGACAGTGTCCTGTTAGAGTGACAATCCGAAGATTGTTTTTACTTAAATCAAGGAAAACCTTTGATTTTTCTCGGTCGTAAGTTCTGAGGAACTTTTTCGAGTGTCTTAGACCGTTGGAGGACACCCATTCCAGATTACGGATGGAGTCTTCCAGATTCTTCAGTTCCGCTTTCAGTTGGTTCCCGCTTAGAAATCAGAACGGTTCTGGTCCAGTTAGTGGGAGTGTTCGCTCCTTTTCTAGCTAGATCATTTGCTTTTTTATTGAGTTCCATCCCTTGGTGAGCAGGCACCCAGAGTAGGAGGATTTTATTTTCTTTGCCTAATTTGTTGAGCTTCTCTACGCATTCTTTGACCAACTTCGAATTAATGGTTACTGAGTTGATTGCGTTTAGTGCTGCTTGACTATCGAATAAGATGGCAATTTCGACACTAACTTTATCGCTATTGTTGGCATCGTCTGGACAAACAACTTATCCAGTCCCAAACCAGTCCAAGTAACTTTGGAAGTACTATATTAGGTTTACGAATGTTTTCAGACAGTTAGGACAGTGTTATCAGGAACAGATATGCGGAACCAATTTTTTATTGTGTTACAGTGAGACAACTTTCTAATTTATTTTCTTAGGACCAAATTAGTTAATGATGTATGATGCAAATGTAATGTTTGTCAGGGTGTCCCATTTTTGTGGGTTTTCAGGGTTTCTCGTTTATGAGTAGAGATACAAAAATGCGGTTTTTACCACCGCACTGAGCTAATTTTTTATGAAACTAAATATTCTACACATAGATTCCTCCTAGACCTCTTAGTTTCTAAAATACAGGGTGAATTTGAAAATTTTGCATTTTATCGAAAAGATGAAAGCTGGGTCTCATAGAGTTTTTCACGTAGAATTCAGTGGGGTAACTAGATTTTCACTGAGAACTGTTATCATTGAAATATGGCCCAAACTTATGATTTTTTTTAAAGGGATACCCTGTATATTAATTTATTTTACTTGCTTTGAACATATTCTCTATATTTATTTCCATAAACAAGGTAAAAAACACATTATTTAAATTTTTGCATAGGCAGCCAGTTTAAATTAGGCAATCAAAACAATCAAATAATTGCATCACAAATGCATCAAAAATATCAATACCTACGTAACTCTTATTGACAGCGTGGTATCTAAAAGCACAAATTTATTTTCAGAGACGTTTATTAAGATAACATGATCAATAGCAAAATTATCTGGTTAAATAAAATAAAATAAAATAATCCTCCTTTAAACTAATAGGTTGATTTATGTTATAAAGTTAAATAATGCATTTTGTAATTTATTTGTGAAAATAAGTATGTATAGAGTAGATAAAATATATTTTAAGAAAACTTATAAAACAAGACTACTAAAATAAAAAAAAATATTATACAGAGTGGCGCACCTCATTTGCCTCGGTTGATTATAGGAAAACGGAAAGATGTAGAAACAAAATATTTTATGGGTATATGTGGGAAGGCAATGTGCATAATTTAAAATTATTTTGAAATGTACAGGGTGCGTGAGAACTAATATCCATACCAAACTTATATTTTTTTCTTATAGAGCACCCAGTATTTTATTTCATTTTGGGATTCTTGGACATAAAATAAGGCATTTATTATAAGGGTCATATCATATGTCTAAAATATTTGGTTTTTGAGATATTTAAAGATACAGTAGGTCTGTCCGTTCTGTAGCTACGGGGTATCCGTGAGAGGGGAAACGATATTCTCTCCATGTTTTTCGTAAAATATTTGACGACGCGTCCCATCAATAAAAATTCGACAAATTTGCTAGTAGCCAATAAAATGAGTGGGCGGAGCGATTTGCGGTGACGTACTCGTCAAGTCGACGTATAAAATATATTGTTGTTTATTTAAATGTTTTTTGTCCGCATTCCTTTTATAGACACAGATCCAGCAGACGTACTGTATCTAATTATGCATGCTATAATAAAAAGGTTTGTCAACACCTTGTACACCACTTTTCAGAATTAATCCTTGTGCTGACTTTCAAGCCAGACAAATAAACTTTATATGATTGCTTCCTTAAATGTATACTGCGGTAACTTCAGGCACAGAATATCTAGCTAGGCAACAGAAAAATACTCGAAATGAAAGAGCTAAAATTTCACAAATAAAATACTAGATGGCGCGACAATATCATAATCAGAATATAATTGGAAATTTTCGGTTTTGGATCGACGGCACGTCGACGGCCTTGAACAACCTTGAAGCTCGGCTAAATATGCACAGTTGCCAGATTCAAAAAGACTTTAATTGGCATCCCATGGTACAAAGAAAACAAGGTATGATCGATAGCGGCTCCAATTTCGTTAAGTTTGCGCATACCACCTGTGACGTCATACGCCATACAGAAAAAGATCCATATTGTTCAATTGCCACTAATAAAAAAAAGACCTAAAATAGGGAAGAATCAGGACATAACCCCAAAAGTTATGTCAAATTATCGAGCTTGACATTTGAAAAATTATTTTCGCGTTTATTGTGTCATCTGTTTGACAATTTGAAATTGGCGCGCGGAGCTTGCCTAACCAATGGTGCCGTTTATCACCTGTGACGTAGTAACCAACCTGCGCAATATCATACCTTGTATTCTTTGTATCATGTTGGCATCCCATTCTTTTTCTGGCGTATAATAATTTCTTTCTATTCTTCGTTTCTTGTCAGATACACTTATATTAATTATCGTTTTGGCTTTTAAAATAGTTTTAAATGTTAACTAAGAAAATTACCTTTAAAATTAATAATATACAGGGCGATTGATAGTGATATTTGTTAATGCTGAAACGTCAGTAATGAAATATACGTTTAATAATAATGGAAATAATTTATTAAAATGCAGTATAAAAAATGTTAAGTGACTAAAAAAATACTATAATAACAAATTTCTTCTGTTTTTACCACGTTATTTATATAGACCTACCTAGGTAGATTTTAAAAAGTGATACAGGTACAATAATTAATAATATATTAGTTCGGCATAAAAGTTGCTGTCACGACATCGTACAATAAATTAAAATTCGTAAAATAAATTGTAATTATTAATTAAACAAATCTTTATAAAGAAACGCAAGTATACCAAATTTTGGCCCAATCGAACTACAGGAAATGATATCATAATATTTTACTCTATTATGGTACCACTCGATATGCTTCATAATATTGCAATATCACCGAAGATCCGTAGTATACCAAATTAAAGCACAATCGAACGCCAGGAAATGGTATCGTAATATGGTACTATAGGTAGGTACCACTTTATATGCATCAGAGTACCATCATATTACAATGTCAACGAAGATACGTAGTATATACCAAGTTTAAACTCAATCGAACGCCAGGAAATGGTATCGTAATATGGTACTACATTATGGTACTTCTTGGCTTCATGGTACCATAATATTGCAATATCATCAAAAATACGCAAGTATAATCAAATATGAGCGAGCCCAGTCGAACGTCAGGAAATTGTATCATAATATGGTACTATATAGAAGGTACCACTTTATATACATTATAGTACCATCATATTACAGTGTCACCGAACATACGTAGCATACAAAGTTTAAGCCCAATCGAACGAAAGGTAATGGTATCGTAATATGGTACTACATTGTGGTACCCCTTGATATGATTCATGGTACCATAATATTGCAATGTCAAAAAATACGCAAGTATAATCAAATATAAGTCCAATCGAACGTCAAGAAGTGGTATCGTAATATGGTACTATATTAAGGTACCACTTTATATGCATCAAAGTACCATCATATTACAGTGTCACCGAAGATACTTACTATACCAAGTATAAGTCCAATCGAACGCCAGGAAATTCAATTACAATCAAACGTTACAAAGTGATTGTAATTCAGCTCGTAAGATTTAGCTCCAACTAACATGGCAAGTTAAATACCTAAACGTTTGAAAAAAGAGCTCTGATCTATTTTAATACGTTTAAATGATGTAGCAAATTTAAGCTAAGCTGTAAGCTTTATCAGGAAGTATTACAATATGAATTAGACAATGGCAACACTGCATAAAATCCTTTTAAATTTCGTATGTAGAAAACTATTTTCTTTTAAATTTATCGCCCTCTATTATGTAGTAGCGAAACTACCGCATCAAAATATCTGATTTGGAGACAGGCTTTTAAAGCCTGTCTCCTTTTGATGCCTACGATTTTATACGTGTAACGAGGCTTCTGTTGCGTAGCTAGATATTGCGTAGCTAGATATTCTGTGCTTCAGGCCAACAAGCAATTCTTCTCACAAAATAAAATCACTAGTAACATATTCATTCCTTTCGCCAGCAGATACTGCTTCATTTTTCTTGATAAAATAATAAATATTTATGAACCTTATTGTAGATAAAATAAATAAAAATAACCTGTTGTAAATTTAAATAAAGTCCATAAACTAATGTCGATTTTGAAAATAGCTACTATCACTAGAAAATTTCCATGGCGACACCAGCCATCTTGATGATAACTTTATGTGCTTCGACTTGTTTTAAAAAAATACATATTGTTGTATTTGAAATAACGAAGTTTTTATGTAAATTTAATATTTAAAATAGACCAGCAATTTTTGATACCCCTGTCGCCGGTATACATTATACATATAGTTATTTTATATCTATATCAAAATGGCTAATCAAGTACTAAACGTAGAACTGACATAGTAACTTATATAAATTTAATACTACACCAACTGATTGAAACTGATTCAGAATGAGTTCCATGCGTGTGCGTGTAGCAATTTCCTTTTAGTTGGAAAATGGTTGTAGGGTAAACTAGTTTGTCACCTTTGTCTCAAAATAGTTGCAGCGTGGGCGATGGGCTTAAGAAGTAAATAATAAAAAAATAATTTTAACTACCTACCCTATATGTACCAACATATAAGTTAAATATCTCCAAACTTCAATCCGTTTAGAAGGCTCGTACATGAATATTTTTGCTGTTTTGCCATTTCCAGTTAAAGTAGAACCTTTTTCTGAAATTTCATCTGAAAATTGACTTTTAGAAGTCTCATTGTACCAATTCATTGTTAATGCTATGTACCCAATAAATAACAGAATAAGGCCGAAATCGAGAAAATAACCATTGCAAACGGAGGAGGACAACAAGTGAACATTTTCAAATACGATACGGGTATATCTTCAGTGACAATTGTGACGCGTGTTTCTTGAGATACCGATCTTCTCAGTGCCCTTGGTGTGAACAATAACTGTTGTGTTTCAGTACCAGATCCATATAATACAGAAGTTTGTACATGTTCAGTCGCTGTTTGTGTTGGTCGAGGTGGTAGAAGAAAGTTTACATATCTAAAATTATAAATTGTATACTTTTTAATATTAATACTAATAGTATAATAATTGTTTTATTTGGAGTAAAAATGATACGTTTTGTGGCGAGACTGTACCGGGTGGCCACTTAAGAATGGACGCCGGCTGTATCTCAGAAACTACTTATCGTATAACTTTGGGAAAAAAATTCTAATAAGTAAATCGACCAAGAGAAATCGCTGGAAATTATTTTCAAGTTCGAAAAATGTCCGCTAGGGGGCGTTTCGCTGATAGCCAATCAGAAAACGGGGTTTTTCTCAAAAATATGCAGGTGAACAGGTATTTTAAATATTACTATTGTAATCATCGAGAAATTTGTAACTTTTTTGATTTAGAGTGTTTTGCTCTATCTCATAAAATAAAGTGGTGGGGGAAGTTTAAACTTGCTTTTATTAAAATAAGGATAACTCTGGTTTAGGTTAACCGATTTAAACAAACTAGGGCTCGTTTAAAAGAGCTTTTCTTCCTTAATGATCTCCAGTAGTAGTGGGAACTATCGAATGAATACTATCGAAACATTCGATAGTTGCAATTCATTCGAATAATTCGATAGTTAGTAAGAAAACATTCGTTGAAAACTATTCGAATAAAAATTATCGAATAGATCCGTCATCTGCCTTGAAATATTGTATTCTAGTAATTCGGCAGCAAAAACCATTCATTTATAAAATTCATTCATTTATGAAATTCATTCATTCGTCAGGATCGATTATAATAAAATATTAACTGAATTTTAGTTGTCGCCCGGCGACGTAGGTTTCCAAACCCGACAGCGGTCGGTGGCAATGCTATGAAAGAAGCCGGCATCTTTGATTTTTTGCGGAGTCAGATATAGATAACGACACATTATTTTTTTTATTGAGGTGCTAGTATTTACACAGAAAATACATTATGAAGGGCGCTGTTGCCATATTTTGGTATTAGTTGATATTAGCAAAGAATATTATTGTTTGGCTTTAGTTAGTTAGGGATAGTATGTCTATATATTCTGAATTTTTTTTTATTAATATCCTGTTGTTACACTGCAATAATACTTGTTATTTTGGATGTAAGAAAATGATTTTTAATGTTTTTAAGCAAAGACTGGTTTAATAAATAATAATAACAGTAATAATTTGTTATACCTATTAACAACAAAATTTAAAATGATTTAATATAAATATTTTTTTTAAGTATTAGCAAAATATAAACAACAAATTAGATGTCAAAATTATTTATATTAGATCCTATTTAAAAATAATATAGTCTCTAAATTTTTTGGCAACGTTGGTTTATTGAATAATAATAATTACAGAACTAATTTGTTATATTAACAACAAATTTTAAAATCATGAAATATAAACATTTATTAATTTTCTAATCATGCAGTGTAATGGAACGAAAATATAAATAAAAAATTAGAAATCAAAATTATTTATATTAGGTGCTTCATATTTCTATTTAAAAATTATATTTACTTTTACTGGCATTTACTTTAAAAAATAAATGAAATATTTCTTCGCAAAAAACTACATGTAAGAGAATTAGCATAAACAAAATACAAAATCGTTAACTTTTTTTTAAAATTGGCACCTGTAAAACTTTCATTTTAATTTTCTCACCCCATAGTTTGAGTTCGATAACCATTTACTTAAATATGATTATACAACCACATTACTTAAATATGATTATTAAGTTCAACTAATTCATATTATTAAAACATCTAAAATACAAATATGTATTTTTAAAATTAATTGTAAGTTCATCTCATCTCTCTTAAAATTGCTACTTCTCAAAATTTCCCATTAAAAATAGACCATATACCATATAAAATTAAATAATTGAAAGATCGGACTACGGAAAACCACACAAATTTTCGGAAAAATTCTGCACATGCACACAATCGTCAATAAATAAAATTAAAAAATAACTACTATTTTAGTATTTTAACTATTTTAATAAACGCAAAAATAGCATAGTATTTATACGGCGAAGTTATAAAAATTTGGAAGAACTAATAATGCACTGACGCATACTAAAAACAAAATCAAACGAATACTAAATTTCATTTATCAAAAGCATTCGATAGTCGTGGCTCAACGATAACCATTTAGTCGCACGGCGAGGTTGTCACATATGCTTTAGTATAAAATAAGGATAACTCTGGTTTAGGGTAACCGATTAAAACAAACTAGGGCTCGTTTAAAAGAGCTTTTCTTCCTTAATGATCTCGAGTGTAAATTTTGTTTCCATAATAGTTCCCATCGTGGTAGCTAGAGGGCGCTGTTTGACATCATAACAGATATTGCGCTTTTGCATAAAAAAATTAAATAGGAGGCTATATTTCTGTTTATACAGTTAAATAGAGCACACAATTTCCAAAATATCAGCGCAAACCGCAATTTTCTATCTTGTTTCTAACCGGAGATATTAAGAGAACAAAAATTTTATGTTAGGCTGCCGCTCAGGATTATATAGTTTAAAACACTATAGTAGTAGGCTAGGAAACAAAAAGAGGTAAATTAGTTACGTCAAAATATCAAAACGTTTAAGTTCAGTTTTCATGCATCCGAATTTCGGCAATATTTCGGGCGTTTTCTTAAAGAAGATGACGTCATAAATTTTTAAACGTGTTTATGTAACATTATCGTCCATCCACATAATTTTTAAGAATTTCTTGGTTAATTATACATAGGTAGTCAGATTAAAATGTCCGAAAGTCGGACAATCAATAATTTTTTATTAAAATTTCTAGAAATTTTGTGCCGCTATATTGCTTTTAACAGAAAACGACCAAATTTCGTATGGCCGAAAACTAGAGGTTTATTTCATGTAACGTCATTTAGCTATTAATCCAAGTTTGTCCTTGATTTCACTTGTTTTCGTGTTTTTCCTGTTGTTTGTGTTAGAATTTAGAATTTGGAATGAGTGGGAGGGGGGTTAATCACTGCGACCTTACAGATCCATTGTGTCCCCCTTTCTTGAGTCATAACTCATCATACAGTCCCAGGGCTTTGACAAAAGCCAGTATCTGGGACGGTTTTATAGAGGGTAGTTCTCCACCTCCAATATCAGTCGTACCAAAATTCATGGCACGAATGGTTGTCGTCTCGGCGCACTCAGTGATGAGGTGTATTGGTGTTTACCCATCTTCCCCACAGAATCTGCATTCGCCGTTTCTTCTTAGTTTCAATCTACTGAGATGTTCATTGAGGAGACAGTGTCCTGTTAAAAACCCCGTGACAATCCGAAGATTGTTCTTACTTAAACCCAGGAAGATCTGTGATTTTTCTTGATCATAAGCCCTCAGAAACTTCTTCGAGTGTCTTAGACCGTTGCAAGATTTCCATTCCAGGTTGCGGATGGAATCTTCCAAGTTCTTGAGTTCCGCCTTGAGTTGGTTACCACTTGGAAAGCAGAACGGTTCTGGTCCAGTTAGTGGAGTGTTCGCTCCTTTCCTAGCTAGATTATTTGCTTTTTCATTGCCTTCTATCCGTTGGTGTTGTTTGTGTTATTTATTATTGTATTATAAAGTTTGGGTCACTTTTTATATAGCCCCGAAGGTGCGACTGTTAACAATATGCACTACTGATCCAAATCTACCCTGGATGCAAGTAGTTCAGTACCAAGACCGTTAGCAGGAATTCTAGGATGGCGAATGATTATCTGAATGAAATGAACTATCCATAATTTCTAAGGTATGAATTGCCAATTTTGTTATGGGATCCATCATGATAAAAATGCATTTGTTGCAATTTCATCAGCATGAATGCAGTTGGAGTAGATAATGCAGTTTGGTGCAGTTGTGTCGCATATTTTGCTATGAATGTGTGGGGCTTCTTGGATCCCACTTACTTTAGTAGATAGAGACGCTGGAGCGGCATATATCCATGGCTAGTTAGGTCATCGGGTTCAATATGCCTGGGTTTTAATTTATGGGGTCGAATCAAGAACGAACATGGATAAATAACAATTAAATGGTATTAAAATGAAATGAAAATATATGGTTTGATATTTTGACGTAACCAATTTTCCTCTATTTATTTCCTAGCCTACTACTATAATTTTTAAACTATAATCCTAAGCGGCAGCCTAACATAATTTGTTCTCTTAATATCTCAGGTTAGAGACAAGATAGAAAATTGCGGTTTGCACTGATCTTTTGGAAATGTTGTGCTCTATTTAACTGTGTAAAGAGAAATATAGCCTCCCATTTAATTTTTTTATGCAAACGCGCAATATCAGTTACGATGTCAAACAACGCCCTCTAGCTACCACGAAAAAAAAAATGATAGAAACAAAAAATTTATACTGAAGATCATTAAGGAAGGAAAGCTCTTTTACAGTTGAGGGTTGGAACCTTTGGTGTTACACAGTAAAATAAAAACACTAAATCACCACAATACACCAAAACACTTTTACTTTTACACTGGACGCGCGTTTCGCTAACCATGTTAGCATCATCAGCAGATGATTATAAACTTTTTTATAATCGTTAGCGAAACGCGCGTCCAGTGTAAAAGTAAAAGTGTTTTGGTGTATTGTGGTGATTTAGTGTTTTTATTTTAAAGGTCTTTTAAACGAGCCCTAGTTTGTTTAAATCGGTTAACCTAAACCAGAGTTATCCTTATTTTAATAAAAGCAAGTTTAACCTTCCCCCACCACTTTATTTTATGAGATAGAGCAAATCACTCTATATCAAAAAAATGAGAAATTTCTCGATGATTACAATGGTAATATTTAAAATACCTGTTCACCTGCATATTTTTGAGAAAAACCCTGTTTTCTGATTGGCTATCAGCGAAACGCCCCCTAGCGGACATTTTTCGAACTTGAAAATAATTTCCAGCGATTTCTCTTGGTCGATTTACTTATAAGAATTTTTTTCCCAAAGCTATAGGATAAGTAGTTTCTGAGATACAGCCGGCGTCCATTCTTAGTTGGCCACCCGGTACGTTTGACATTACAGGCGACGCACAAAAAGTGATTTGTACTCCGAATAAAACGTGGTATTTTTTTTCAAACGTCGCAAATAATTTTTTAAACAATTTCAAACGTTGTAAATACTTAGGAGTAATACCTGTAATTATACAGTGTGATCCGAACTGTATTCCGGAAACTTTGGCAGCATATTCTGCAGATAAAAATGAGTAAAAAAGTTCATATGAATATATGTGCCAAAATGCTTAGTTTGGGAGATACAGGGTGTTGAAGATTCATTTTTATTTCGATTTTTCCCAAATAATTTCTGAAGTAACGTCAATATTTGGATGAAAATTGGTGTCTGGGAGTTTTTTGACATGAGAAATTTGATTTTGATGTCAATATAACCCGTACTTGTAGAGGGCGCCACCTACATATTTTTAACTGGTTTGAAGACTAATAAGAAGAGTAATAACTTTTCGTCTGTACCTGTATAAAACTACTGAGTAAAAAAATTTACATTTACGATATTTTTTAAGTAAAAAAAGTCTCTTGGTAAAAATCGCTGCCAGTAATAGTTGTCGAAAATATTTGGAATCGAAATTATCAATACATGTCATCATTGGCATAAATTAAACATGTTGACTAAATAGTTATTAGACTGAAATCATAAATTTGAAATGTTTTAGTGCCAAAATTTCAATAGAAACTGTTCTATCATCATTTTTTTCGAAAAAAAAATTATGATTAATTTAAAAAAATAAAAAGTTCCCAAATTTATCATTATGGTCAAATAATATACTCGACATGTTTATTTTTGGTCAATAATGACATGTATTGACTGTTCCAATTCTAAATTTCTTGAGGACGGGGTTGTTAGTAGCGATTTTTACCAAGAGACATTTCTTACATAAAAAATCACGGAAATGTATATTTTACGACTCAGTAGTTTTATACAGGTACGAACGAAAAGTTATTACTCTTCAAAAGAGTTGAAATACATGTAGGTGGCGCCCCCTACAAATAGGAGTCTTACTGATATCAAAATCAAATTTCTCATGCCAAAAAACTCCCAGACACGAATTTGTATCCAAATATTGACGTTACTTCAGAAATTATTTGGAAACAATCGAAATAAAAATGAAACTTCTACACCCTGTATCTCCGAAACTAAGCATTTTAGGACATACATTTATAAGATTTTTTTTTACTTCTTTTTTCTGCAGACATATTATATACATAGGATCAAAAAAAAGTAGTACAAGAATTAGTAGTCCCAGATAGACCTCCTGGTCTATAAGGATATCGAGAGGTGGATATCGTCGTCAGTGAAAACAATACAATTATGCCACCTTTTTAGGCGTTACCATGAATTTGGTAATAATTGGTAGGTATACGTGGCGAAATAAAAGTATTAAAAATTTACCTTCCTTTTAAAAATGGGCAACTTTTCAAGTTTTCAAGTTTTTTTTATTATAAACCAGCAGATTTTATTGTACTACTTTTTTTTATCGCAATGGTAGGTACATATATTTAAAGTATCCACAAACTATGGTTATATCGGTGAATTTGACACTTTATGTCAGTTTAATAATATTTTTCCGTGCTTTACTTTTGTAAAAGTGCTTTACTTTTATGCCTAGGCGTTAAAATGACATTTTTATATTATCAATCACGTCGTAAAAATTATTGGTTTTGTGACGTTTGAGAAAAAAGAGTATATTGTTTTATTAGGAGTAAAAATGACACTTGTTGTGGCGGGACTGTATGTTTGACATACAGCAACATACAGCCGATGCACAAAAAGTAATTTTTACTCCGAATAGAACATACTATTTTTTTCAAACGCCACAAATAATTTTTTAAACAATTTCAAACGTTCCAAATAATATAAATATTTAAAAGTCATACTTTGTATGTAACTATATATCGAGAAATGGTTACGATCGTTGAATTTGACACTTATGTCAGTCTAATAATATATTTTTGTACTTTTATGCTTAGGCGTAAAAGTGCTTTACTTTTATGCCTAGGCGTTAAAATGACTTTTTATATTGTCAATTGCGTCGCAAAAACTAATATTTTTGTGACGTTTGAAAAAATAGAATATCATATGGGCATTCTTTTATTATACACAGTTTTTCACACAACCGTTTAAACAAAAAAAAATATAATTTAGATGGACAATACAGAAAAAAATTATAGTAAATTGCATTAGAATTCTTTTTAACTTTCAAAATCTAAACTTTCTTGATTATAAAGCTTTTTGATAATATGGTATTAATCCTAGAGGATCTACTCTGTATAAAAATTTGAATGTTTTGGTTAAGATTATGTATTTCGAGATATAGGTAGGTATAGGTACTTTCTTTTTAAGACATCTTGTTTTATCGCGATATTATATAAATTATCACGCAGTATTTGCAAAAAAATATTTCACTAATCTAATTTAATTACTTAACTTATATTTGGATCCAAAATTATTATTTTTTTGCTAATTTTAAGTGGATCTACTATATTTACATTTGGATACCAGCAACCAAACTAAATATCAAAACATACCTGGTTACCCATTTTCCAAATAGAAACTTAAGATCCGGATTTTCTAAAACTTCAATAAACTCTTCGAAACTCAATGATTTACTGTTGTCTTTATCTCCCATGCTGAAAATGTAGGCTATTTGGTCATCGGTCAGAACCTTTTTGCGGCCTGATGATGAAACGCCGATAAATGCTTTAAGCTCCGCTATACATATTTCACCATCTTGATTGGTATCGCACTATAAAAAAGATATACTTGTATCACACATATTAAAAATTAGGACACTGTATTTCTCCCCAATAAAAATAATGTTGCCATTTAAATTCTACAGGGTGAGTCCTAAACAAGTGCAAATATTTTCAGGGCTGGTAGATCTCGATAAAAGAAACATTTTTTACCGTTTTTCAAAAAGTCAAAATTCACCGAGATATTCAAGTTTGAAAACTAAACAAGAATTGATTTATTTTAGAGCCACCGAATAATTTTTTCTGTATTTGCATCCCTTTTGCCGTAACCATGGTAATATCAGAGATTAAGAAATTATACCGTGGGAAAAATTGCGGTGAAGATGCAGTTCTATAAAGTTTTTTAGAATATACAAAAAAAAAGAAAATTCACGACTGTCAACATATTTTTCTGCGAAAAAAAAACGATATTTACGGCTATAATATACCATGCGTTTTATGGAGAATGCATTTTTCTCAAAATGTCAATAATAAAAAAGTTTTTCCTCTTGTAAAGATAATCCGGGGACATACCTACTCTATAAAATAATTTTAAAATAAAAACTGTTTCAAGTTTCAAATGCCGAATGTGTAACACGAGGTGTAGGGTTGCCACCTGTCCTTTTTTGAAAAGGACTGTCCTTTTTTGGAACAAATAGCCCTTTTGATTTTTTTTGACCTAAAAAGTACTTTTTATTTACGTATTTTCCTCGAGAAATTTATCTACAGCAACCAGCAATATTACTTTTATCCTAACCAAACCAAATATTTTTATATTATATGCAACGTAGGAATTTTTTTAAAAAATTATTTGTTAAGATTTGAAAAAAATATCATGTTCTATTTGGTCTAAAAATTACTTTTTGTGTTTCACCTGTAATATCAAACGTACAGACTAGCCACAAAAAATATAATTTTTAATCCTAATAAAACAATATAATTTTGTTGAGAATCGGCAACATTATTTCGATTTCGCCGTTTAATCTGAAATGATAGTTTAGACACAATATTAACAGGTTTAGGTTTTATTTTTACCGTTTTGATCGTAAAAAGAGCTTTTCTAAATTTTAAAGTATCGATTATAATCAGCGGTTCCCAATCAACAGGTTACCCTTCCCCCTCCCAGTCCTTTTTCACAGTCCAATGCCCTTTTTTTACTTTGCAAAAAGGTGGCAACCGTAACGGGGTGTAACATCAAAAAATGTATTAATGCTAAAACGCCTAAAACGGAACAATTTGACGTAAAAAAATTATTTAAATTTTAACAACATATAAAACAATAGTAATCAATTCATTATTAATAAATTATATTTACAAAAATATTACCTGCCACGCAGTCTATTAAAATTGTCGTGGTTATCTGATTATATCAGACATCTGATGTCATTGTTAAATTATTTCATTTCGTAAGATAAAAATGCATGCCTATCTATGAAACAAAAATGAGTCCGATTCTTTGAAGTTCCTTGAATTTGTCTTAAAAACTTAACTTTTATTATTATATATTATATTTTACACTTGGATGTATAAATACCGGGTGTTTTTCAAAAGTAGATCATCCCTATACATTTTTATTTGTTCAGATAAAAAAACGAGATTTGGTATGTTAGTATATGACATAAACCGGCATTAATTTACGGTACTCAATTAGCTTCGGCCACGGCCAGTTTCGCTTTCATCAAAATCAACTACAACTTTTGATTTCTGAATGGTGGTATTTTACTTTATTTGATAGAAAATTACATTTTTAATAGAATGGCATATCGTATGTCAACTTTGGACATTTTCTCGTAAAAAATTACTTTTTAAATTTTAATCTGAAATGCCATGACTGTGTTAAAGTTAAAACCACTAATTTTAGTAGAAATAAATCAATCTGCAGGTTTGCTAGTTTTTAAGTTAAAAGTATAATTTTTTTGCCGATGTGGGGGCAAGACACGGCGTCATGATTCCGGTGGTTTTCAAAAAATAGTTTTTCTTAAACTTTCTAATTTAAATATCTGATCTATTTTCAATTTTTTAAAAATGTCCAAAAGAAATTATGTTTATTTTGTCCCAATAGTCCCCTGTATAAATTTTTTTCTTAATATTAAAAATGAAACACATAAACAAGTCTTCAAAGTAAAATATATCCGTTATTTTGGATTTACCTACATATTCGAAAAATGGTAAAGAGAAAATATGTTTCTATTATCGAGATCTGCCAGCCATGAAAATATTTGCTCTTATTTATAGCCCACTCTGTATAGAATTTTTTAGCTGTAAAAATCGAAAATTACATTAATATTACGAAAAGAAATGTTTGTTTTTAAGAATATTTACACTCAAATGGTTTAAGATAGAGATAATTATTGTCCAAAACTATGTATTTATTTCTTGTATACCGGGTGCGTCTCAAAAGTCGCTCACCCCTATAACTTTTTTGTTTTTTTTTAAGATAAAAAACGAAATTTGGTATGTTCGTAGATGACATAAATTAGGATTGATTGACGTATTCAATTATTTGTTGGTCGGTCACTTCCTGTTTCACCGAAAATGACTTCAACTTTTGATTCTTAAATGACACTCTTAGTATGTTTTCACTTCATTTGATAGAAAATGACATTCTGAATAGAAATATATTTTCGAATCAATTTGTGATCAAATTGAATTTAAAACAAAAATAGCATTTTTAATTACTTAATAGCATTTTAACTAAAGTTTTAATTTAGGATGCCATGGCCATAAATGTAACGGCAATTTCACTGGAGATACTAATTTATGTCGTATTCTAACATACCAAACCTCGTTTTTTTCTCTACAAAAATAAAAAGTTATAGGGGTGAGCCACTTTTGAAGCGCACCCGGTATTAGTATATTTGACATAAATTATAAATTTTTATATAATATATTTCAGAAATCGAGATATAAATTTCTTAAGTAAATAGTTTTGAAATTCAAATTCAAAATGACTCATAAATTAATCAGTGAATCACGGCAAGTATCGAATTTAGTTATTTCTTTAGAATTACCTTACAAAAATCTAATTTAGTTACAAAAATCAAATGGTACTTACTGCTTCAAAAATCTCCTGGTATACTTTAAGCTTTTTTGCACTAATTTCCGGCATTTTTAAGAATAATATTTTAAACTTGAATCACACAATTACAACTAGCTTTCATTAGGTTTTAATGAGTAATGACACAGGTGTAACGGTTTTCGAATATACACGCGGATATTATCTATTAGAATTTACTGATAAGATAAAATCGATACCGACAAGAATAATTGATTTTTTTACATTACATGTATCTTATTATTAAATAATGTAAAATTGTATTTTCGTGATCTCACAGACTTAAGAGTCAAAGTGAGATGTTGAATTTAGAATATTATGTTTTTTAGGAGGGATTAATATTAGTTTATTTTCAATAATTTGTTAAACCGTATTTAACTTTTGTTTTATACTATTCTTTTTTTGTAAACACAGCAGTATATAAAAGCTATTGACCTATACAGGGTGTCCCAGAAATAAGTGCAAGTATTTTAACTGGTAGTTCAACCCCAGAAACACGTCTATGAGGTTTTTTCGCGAAAAAAAAATGAAAATTCGAAATTTTTTGGATTTGTTTTTAGTTTTTAGTTAAAAAAACATAATTTCTTGATAATATGACAACATAGGTATTAGATTAAATTTACAAGAAAGAAAATCCAGAAAAGATCCAGTGGTTCTCAAAATTTTAGCAAAAAATCATTTTTTTTTGGAAATTTTCAAAGTAAAATAACTCTGTTATTTTGGACTTATTTGAAAAACGATAAAGAGAAAATATGTTTTTTTTATCGAGATCTACCACCCATTAAAATACTTGCACTCATTTCTGGGACACCCTGTATATAAATCCAAACATGTTGGTCTACTCGTAATAGTAGATATAGATGGAGATTGTATGGAAGGGGGGAAGATAATCACCGCGATCTTATAGATCCTATTTGCAGGTTGCGAGAGGCGCTGAAGTCATGATTACTTAATATCGCTTAAGATGGGCTGGCCACGTATGCAGGATGCAAGAGAACCGCCTACCGAAATCAATTCTTTACGGTGAACTTGTAGAGGGTAAGAGGAAACCGGGTGGACAACTCAAAAGATACAAGGATGTTTTCCATGAAAACTAAAAAGGGATAAGTATGCAGCATCAGTGGGAGGAAGCAGCGCACAATAGAATGCAACGGAGGAGAATTGTAAACTCAGTTAACAACGACAACCAAAAAGTAAAGAGGCAACAAAGTAATGAGATTTTTGAATGTCCGGAGTGCGGAAGAGAGATAACATCACGGATCGGGCTTTTCAGCCACAGAAAAGCTCATGAAAGAACACGCAGTATTGGCAGTAAGTAAGTAAATAGATCCTATTGTTTTCCCCTTACTTGAGTAATAAGATAATAACTACAATAAACTCATCATACGGTTTCAGTGCTTTGACCAAATCCAGTATCTAAGACAGTTTTACAGAAGGTTTGTTCCAACCCGCCGCAGAACCGTCACCGAACGATCACGCTCGTGTGCAGTAATTCAAATGTGTTCCAACCGAGATTTGACGGTTATCGGACGATCCTATTTGCGTATCAACCTACCTTGGGATCGTTTAGTTACGATTTCAGATTTCAGAACAGTAATTTCGGTACATGGTCCAAATTGAGAACTGTTTGGGTTGACTTGCGCAATAAAGCATATTGGCAGGGATTATCGATTTTTAACAGCTGATTGTGGTCCGGCATCCGGTTAGGAATTGTATGCGTTATACGTTTACTTGTGAGTTTGTGTGGAGTAAATCGTTCGGAAATTTTAAATTGTACACATTTATAATTATCTATAAATAATAATTAAGGATGAGTGACGATGGTATGACTGATTTCTATACCTCCACTTCAGATAGTGACAATTTGGAGTTACTGCCTAGTGAAAGGGTGAAAATGAACAATATTTAGGTAAGCTTTAATCGTATTTTCTTGTTTCCTCGAACAAAAACAAAAAACCGATCGATACACGCACAAAACTATTCGAAGTCCGCGCATGCTAACAAAGTGCAAGAAAACCGATTCGAGTACGATTTCGAAACGATCCCGAAATGCTGGTTGGAACAAACCTAGAGAGTAGTTCTCCATCTCCGATATCAGTCGTACCAAAGTTTATGGCGTGAATGGTTGTCGTCTCGACGCACTCAGTGGTTCTGGAGTTTTCCCATTTTCCCCAAAGAATCTGCATTCGCATTCGCTGTTGTTTCTTAGCTTCAACCTACTCGGTGTTCATTGAGGGAACAGTGTCATATATGTATTTTATGATTAAGTGTCAACAAATTGATTTCTAAAAAAAATAAAATTCTTACACAGCGAATGCCAACCAAAATCGTTGCCCAAGCATGGGTTTTAACATATCCTACAAAAAATTATATATTGAAAGAAAACGAAGAATTTTAAATTTTACTCTATATTTTTGGCATATTTAGATAAAGCTTATGAAAGTCTCTTTTCCACTTTTAATGATGTACTTAATTTTAATTGTACTAATTTTCCCGTTCAAAATATTCTAATAAATTTGTGATGAGTTTTTTACGGCTATTAAGCTTCCATCTTGTACACTTGGCACTAAAAGAGATTAAAAAAAACAATGTTCAACAGCAAGGTCTGCTAGTAAAGTTTCTGAAGCTTAAAGTATCACAGCACAATTCATTTAAACCAAAAACTCGTAATACGAAACTAAAATGTCAAAACGAATAACAATGTCAGGAAATAAACGACTGTGACTTTGTGAACTTGACTGAACAAATGTGAACTTGGCATTTTTTACACCAGAAGTACCACCTGAATCTCCAGCGGAAAATTTAAATTCCAGTTAGTCAGCCCGGCAGCGAATATGTCCATGGTTGGAACAATGCATTTAAAAATTGCGCCCTCGATTACGTAACTAAAAGTTTAATTGGTATCGAATATAGGTATATATTTATTTACGAACTATCTTTATGATGCATCAACAGAAGTACCTACATCTCTAATTATATCAAGTGAGTTTATAACAATTATTGTAAAAGTGATCATATAACTTATATGCTCTCGCGTTTCAATCTAGTACCGTTGTGTATTTTTGTGTACTTAAGAATAAATATTTAAATAAATCAAGTACTTACAAGTACATCATTATTAACCCAAGTATTTACTAATTGAAATAAAGCGCATGACTTATTATGTACATACATACCTACTTAATAGTATAGAGGACTACTGTTTGCAATGATAAGATTTACTTGTTTGTGGACAAACATTAATAATGTTTAGACCAAAAACTAAATATTTTATTAACATTTATAGACCGTTAAATTCAACATGTCAAACATTATTTCGAATTCTTAAATCTCGGAGTTTTAAGGGTGCGCAATAGTATATTAAACAACAAGTTTCGAAAACGACGTTTTGCACACGAGTTCGACAGTTTGTTGGCTCGAGCTGCAGGCAAGAGCCACAAATCGAACGAGTGTACAAAGAAGTTTTCGAACGAGTTTTTTACGCTATTTTATCTACGACTACAAATTAGCAGCAGACTCAATCAGTTTTTGTCAGTTTTGTGGAATAATTTGCGATGTAATGATGGCACTTTTCTGACGTCTGCGTTGCGTTTGGCGTTTCAGCTAAACATTGGAGGTTAAAAATGTTAAAATTGACACATGTCGTGTGCACTAAGACACATATCGTGCGCTAAATCCTTAGCACACGACAGTTTGCAAAACGCCATTTTCAGATCGAGTTTTCCGTGTGTTAAACTGCATTATCTAGGCTAGTCGTAGAAAAATTACTTTGTCATAGCGTTAAGCTTGATTTTCATGCATCCGTTGTCCGACGATACGATATTAATTTCATTGGATGTATTTAAAGGCTTCGATTGGTTTTTAAATTCAACCAATAAAATTAATATCGTATCATCGTATCGTCGGACAACGGATGCATGAAAATCAAGCTTTAGCCCTAAGGATATAAAAAAATCCCATACTTCTTAGTGTAAGCATAGACTATGGAGTGTAGAGGTAAGGAGAAATAACTCTTACGGGACTTTTATTGAAAAAGTGGTCACAAAATGGGAAGAATAAGGGTTCGCCAAATAACCACAATGGCGCTAAAAACGCATGAATCTAAAAAATGAAAAGTAACCATAGATAAGAGAATAAAAATAAATATAACCAAACATTACCCAAAAAAATTTTGTTTTTATTTTTCAGACAGAGTTTTTGAATATAAAATAATTATTGTTTATCAATATTTTATGCTTTATTTATTAACAATGGTTAAAGTGTGTGTGGTGCGAAGTTGATTGAATAGCTGATGGAAAAATAAAGAGCAAAGGCAAAACCTACGGTATGTAAAATACATAATATAATTCAGTATTGTATTATTTGTATTATATGTAAAAATTAGAGTCAATTAAAAGTGTAGTAAACATTTTTCGTAAGATTATTGACATACATGTTACAAAGTATATTTTTACAATTCTTTTTATAAAGTTACAACCTAAATAAAATTTATTTTTAATGATTTTAAAGTTTGACAGACATGCACAAATTGTTGGCATTTTTTTAAACAAGTAAAAGTAGGAAATACATAAAATTGTAGGTACTTTCAAGAAATATAGTTAACTGTAAGTGCTGTATTTTAATAATCTATCAAAAATTAAAATGATCAGGATATTAGATATTGATTTTCAGACAAGAATTAGATTACAGTGATGGTCAAAAGCATTTATATATTGCTTTGAAATCTACAGATAAGGTATGGGTATGGCAGTTTCATTTTAAAGAACAAGATGTTAAAGTTTGTGATAAAATTGTCATCAGAAATACTGTCCACTTCAGTATTTACATAGGAAAATATTGGAGGATGAAGCTCTACCTACTGCCTCAGGTTAATTTAAATTCTGAATTGCAACAACAACAAGCAAGAAGGGCACCATTAAATGAATATTATACACAAAAGTATTATTATACACAAAAGTATTATTATACACAGAAAGAGTAATGTTATACACATAAATATTAACATTTTGTAGAGCAACAACACAATAAAAAACCAAAATATGAACACCAGCAACTAAAACAGGAACCATTAAATGAATATTATACACGTAAGTACAATTTGATCGAATAAAAAACGGCGTCAGCAATGCCTATGAAATGA